ACAAACCTTCCTTAAGAATCACTCTATCTATTAAAAAAAACCGCATCAAAATCCGTTGCGTAGTTTTAAAGATCTAAGCATACATATGGACATACAGCGAAAGCGACTTTGTTTTATACTATGTATTGATTATATTATATTGAAAAAGAAAACATATTTCCTAATTTACCTTGGTTGAACACCATTATCAAATAAGTCGGCTCGTAACATTTTCAAATAGCCAGTTCCAACATATAACTTTCTACCAGTGTATTCCACTTTCATACCTCTTTTACAATGGCCTTCTAGGTCTCCATAGATGTCAACTCTTTCACCTACCTGGCAATCTGGAAAAAAAATGACCAGCTGGACAAAGAGACCTTCCACTTCACAGTTAATTTTGTGCTTAATTTTCCTTTTAAATTACTAATGACAAAGGACTTGTAAAAAGAAAGTTATTTTCATGCAACAAAGTGAAATGTTGTGAAATCTGTATGACATCAAAAGCTCCAACTCATCAAAAATTATATGCAACTTCCTGTTCATCAGTAATGCAAGTATTAGTTGCATCAGAGCATCAGGCATGTCTCATTCATTGGGGTAGGCAGAGACAACAGAACACCAAATGACATGATTCTGACATATCTCTTTCACTTCGTTTATCTACAGTTCTAGGAGATATTTTAAAGGAAGATTAATTGAATTCATATTAAGCATAGTTATAATAATGTATAAATTATATTCCTGCTTATACATTACTTACTAACAGGTAGGCCCATAACTCCAGGAGCAAACACATGAGCTCCCCTCAACACTGCAGCTGCACATAGAGCATCAACTATGACCTCTTTTCCTGCCTTCTCCAAACTAACTTCAGGCCATGGTCCAAGAATAAGGCAGTCTGGTCTTAAGAAGTAAAAGTCTGGTAACTCTGTAGTGTCCAGCACTTTACTTTGCTGTAATTTTAAATTATAATTTAATTTCATAATATTTCTATATTATAAGCCATAAGTAAAAATGTTATTCTAATAAGATTACTTGACTCGAAACAATAATTTTTGTGTGAGTATTATAGTTGTTAACAATACAATAACTTACAGATATAAGAAAATTTTTGAGGACATCAACTTCGATCTTTTTTAATTTATTCACCCTAAAAGTTGTTAATTTTGGAGCCTGAGTTAACCAGGCTTTCATATTGTTATTACTATCCTCTAGAACTTCCATTGTTACTCAACTTTTTTTAAAAGAAACTTATAACTTATAAACTTTTTTAAAAGTAAGTATTTAAAAATTCAATGTTGTACAGTAATATTTGTAATTATTGAGACATTACTTCTCAGGTGATACACATTACATTGCCCAGTCGTTTGAAATAATAATTGTATTTGAATACTTTAGCGCATAACCAAATGTAATATAAAAAACATGTGATGTGGTTTGTATATAATTAATGTTTTCGTAAAGGTTCAAAGAAAGAAGACATCAACACGCTACTGACATTTGACAACAATAAGCTCATCAACGTCTGTCGATGACTGTCATCGTTTTATTTTATTTTTTGTCATTTTTGAACTGGCTTATAGACTTTTATGCCATGGGTGATTTGGGATGCGTTATAGCAAACAAAACGTTTTAATTTCAGTCCTTGGTTCAGTCAATAACAAAGAATAACAGAAATCACAGAATAGACACAAATTGACCAAATATAAGCAAAATACATACAACAAATTCTTAAATGAATGGCAACGGAATGAACCTTGATCTACCTTACCATACCATTTTAGCCCAAATAAGTGTAAGTATCTAAGCTCACTATCATCATCCAGAATAAAAACCTTGAAAGGCGTTATATTCTCGCTGTAACGTTTGTGCCTTGTGGTTCTCATTATCAAGCTCCAGGAAACTTGTAATAATATTTGGTTGACTGGCTGAGCTAATATAAAGAAGTCAGGGAGTGAGTAGAGGAATCACCGAATGCTACTACGTACGGGCACTTGACATATTTTTATTTTACTCGGTGTAATTTTATTTTTAATTGTGATGAATAGGTCTGCCGAAATCATCACAATTTGGCCTTTTATTGTCTGTAGTTACCCTGTTGGGAGACAGGCGTTACGATACGTATGTACTTACTTGCATATTTAGGTAAGTAAGTACATAATTTCTGATCATACAAATGTAAACATAATGAAATATTTTGGAATGACCTAAACTAATTATTAACAGTTTGAAATCAATCATAGCTTAATATAAATACTACTGGAGCATAACATGGACCGTGCGTGCCACGTTGCATCAAATGCGTAACAGAACTTTAGTCATAATAAATTAAGTTGAAAGAATTCAGCTTCCAAACCACGTCAGTGTTCATTGAATCGCTTTAGCATTTCAAATTGCATATAAGCTTAACTCAAGGAAAGAGAGGGATTCACTCTTCAATAACTAAGTCCACGATCAGCAGTTTGGACTTGGAGTCTGGAGCCTATCGAAGTATTGAGCCGAGTAGTGGTTACTTGTTCAGTAGTGTTCCTATCACAAAACGTATGTAAGCTTGAAATCATTTAAATAATATTTGGTTCACCTTAAATTAATAAATTCACGGGTTAAAATAGATAAGAAGGCGTTTTCGATGCTTGTTATCAAACAATTAAAATAATAATTAATGAAAATACGGCACTTGATAGTGTAATTATTTTTATTGTCACTGGCCACTTTTTTCCAATACGTGGCATAGGCACGAACAACTTCCACGTTCGCCGCCATTTTGACATCGAGCGAATTGTATAGAATCTACTGATTTAAAGCTTTTTTTCTTGATTGTGTTGTAATTGGCATCTGAAAATGTAAGTAATTCATCTGCATTCACTTATTTTACATATTTATTAAATTAGTGTGTTATATGAACTGTAAATTACGTTTTGTATACTTTATAAACTGAGGGTGGTGACCGCCGTATAGACCAACAGCGGTGTCGATCGAATCTTTGTTGTAAATCACTCTTGTTAGATGTTGTAATGCAAGTTGGTGCTAATGATTGGATTCTATTTGTGTTCTGCATCTAAAACTTTAATCTTGTGTTCGTGTTAACTTAGAATAGAAAACATACTACGTCAAATTTTTGTAAGGACCTGCCATGTCATTATCATTGATTGAAATAACGTGCAGACTTGACGGATGACTCAGTTCGGATAATGCTAAATTTCTAATATTATTTTATTATTGCAGACTAATCGCAAAGCTTCAAAATGGGGAATATGTTTGCGAATTTATTTAAAGGCCTATTTGGCAAAAAGGAAATGAGAATATTGATGGTTGGTTTGGATGCTGCTGGTAAAACCACAATCCTATACAAACTTAAATTAGGCGAAATTGTTACGACTATTCCAACGATTGGTAAGTATATTTCATGTTTTTCTTGTAATAAATGTTTATTTCAAAAATTCAAAATAGACCTAATTTTATGTTTCACTATAGCATCATAGACTCATGCATGAATCATTAATTACTCAGAAGAAAAAAATACATTATTATTGGAATTTAGGAAGTCTTTTTTTCCCATATGTTACAGATAATCACTGTAATCAAATAATAGTGCTAAATGATAATGAATCAACATATATAATTTTGACAGTACAGTATGGCTAATGGAATTTGTATTGATTTTATCTAACATCTAATAATTTAATATATCCATTACTAAGTATTGATAACTGTCTATTCAGTTGTGGCAATAGTGCAATCTGTGGTCAAATTGGAACGGGGTCAAATTGGAACGGGGTCAAAAGCATTGACTTGTGTGCATCTAAATATTCTTGATGTGTCCTATTTCATAAAAATATGGGATGTTTTTAGTCTGTCATTACTTTTGGATTTTTTATATAATAAATCAATAATTTTCATTATAAAAATACATACTTTTAAACCAAACATGTTTTCAAATGTTAAAATTACCAAACAGCTTTTCTCCATAAAAAAAACATCAATTAGTTGTGTTAAATGCTAAATGACTGGAACTGTTTATAATGTTTTAATGTGTGACATAGAATATATGTAATAGAAATTATGTAAACTATATGTAATTTCAAAATAAAATTATATTACTACATTATTGTTAGCAAAAAAACTATGTATGATGATGTATAAGATGATATTGTAACTGTTATCATCATAAAAAGAACCTTAGACTTAAGAACATAGGTTTTATAATTGTTTTTGCATCATAAAATAAACCTTATTGGCCTTTTTACTGTGTGGATAATTTCTACAATTTTATAATGTTTGTAACTTGTTTCCAGGATTCAATGTGGAGACTGTAGAATACAAAAACATCAGTTTCACTGTGTGGGACGTAGGTGGTCAAGACAAAATTAGGCCACTCTGGAGGCATTACTTTCAGAACACACAGGTCAGTAACATCACTTTACTATTTGCTAATTCTAATTGGAATATTGTTTAACATCCACCATAATATCTTCTCCTTTCAAAGTGATATATTCACTTTTTCTGAGAAGTATTACATAAATGTTCCATTTTTGATTGTAAATCTTTAATTCAAGGAGTTCAATTCCACAATTCAAGGAGTTAAGTTTGTAAAAAAGGTTTTAACTCGTCGAGTACCGGTTTTGTAGACACAATTATAGAACAATAGGTTGCGGTCACCGGTGACCGCTTAGTGTTTGACAGTTTAATTTAACATAATATCTTGAAAAGTACTTTCGTAGATTTTGCGCATTCTTATTATATGAACATTGCAATGTCTGATTAAACAGAAAAAGGAATTAAAATCTGACATGAGTTCATTTGTAGGTTCTTTTTTGAATAATTTTGGAGTGTTATCTAAATAGTATGTCATTTATGTATCTGAGATCATAGAGATTGCCATGAGTGCGTCTTGGTGTTCACAATCACATTTGTGAAAGTGGGTCATTGTTTCTAATTTTAAAACTTACAGATGATTTCACTTGGTTGTACAAACAAAGGCTTTATTATAACTTTAATCCTCAAATAGAATTATTTCAACTGTTTCCTCCAACTTTAATTAATATTAAATTTTGATTAATACCATATAAAATAAAATTAAGCAAAAGTAATTCATTGTTAGCTTTATGATTATCCTCAAAACAATATTTTATTGATTTATCAGAAAGTGTGTAGTAACTTATTGAAATGTATCAATAGTAAGTTCTTTCTACATTAATTAGCATTTACACATGTTGAGTTACATGGCTTCCTCTATTACTTGTTAGCTAGTTGAATGTGGTAGTCTGGCTGGCCTCATTTATCAATATGTTTGTTGGTAATTTTACTCTTTTTACATTTAGTTTTTTTATTAATTATTAACGTTATTCTGTGTGCATGTATAGATTTAATCAGAGAAGATTTGCCTCTTGATAAATAAATAAAATACTGAGACAAGACATGCAAGATAAACATGCTTCAGAACATTTTATATCTGATTGATTTCAAATGTCACTGCACTAAAAAATGTAAATAAGTGTTTCATTCGCATAATAGAGCAATTTAAATGTGATGTGAAGTGGATAGAATTTATTATTTAGATAGTCATCTCAGTTAGTATCTACTATCTACACGTTAGTAAAAAGTGTAATTAATTATTGTATTTTATTGCGTATATGTGTTTACGCGTAGTAAAAGATAGTTGCGTATTAAAATTTTAATTAACATAGAGTATTGATAGGACGAAAATAAAGTTGCGTAGTATACGTTACTAAACGAGTTAGCCTTGGCGTTTATTGTTTTGATAATAATTAGTCATAGGATTATTAAATGAAGCCGATATTTTAGTGATAAAGTTATGTCCGCGTAATGCTCGCGTTCAATGAAGTCATATCCTAGGAAAAGCGCTTTCATGTACTATGACAATACTATTCCATAGCTTATCTTTTTCCTTTAGAGGAAAGAACACGTTTTTTATCTATACCTATTGAATGAGTAGTAGTGTTTAATTACAATTTTATTTTATAATGGATTCTGTTACTATTGACAGAAGTGTACACAATATTTGTAGGTGGATTTATTGGCAAATTTTTATTATACTTACGCGAAATTACTGTTCAGTTGTGACATTTGTCATTTATTTTGGTTCCATTGTGTTACAGGGTCTCATCTTTGTAGTAGACAGTAATGATCGAGAGCGTATTGGTGAAGCGCGTGAGGAGCTCATGCGAATGTTAAGTGAAGACGAACTACGGGATGCTGTACTTTTGATCTTTGCAAACAAACAGGTAACATATCAAACACTTTATATTATAACATAATGTTTCAAACTTAATTCGAATATTATCTGTCTATACTGTGTTTTAAACTTACGATACTATGTCATAACCTTGCTTTAAAACAGCTGCTACCTTGAAGAATGTCACGTAACAACTAAAATTAATACGAAATTATTTCACTAGGATCTGCCAAACGCAATGAATGCTGCTGAGATAACAGACAAGCTGGGCCTGCACTCATTGCGCAACCGCAA